ATATATATTATATTGAAAAGCCTGACGATAGAAACTAGGAAAAAGAGTCTTAAGGAAGACCAAAATAAGGCCAACTCAGGTGCGAAAATGAGGAGAGAAAATTGTACGATTTGATATGAAACATTTGAACTAGAACCGAGCGTGATCTCACGAAAATACAAAATGGTGCAGCGGTTGAAATGGCTTTTGATCCTTCATCCAAACAACAACTACAACTCGAGTATATATTATATCGGTTAAATTTTTCCACAACTGCATCCATTCGAGGTTGTCTCCTTCTCCCCTGCAATAAATTTACACCCAAGTATTTAAGAGGTAAATGAGACAGTTTATAGCTCATGAAGTTAGCAATCCATCTAGCTGATCCTGACAATATGTGCATGCCTCATGTGTAATTACTTCAATTTCAATTCCAGACAATAACACCAAAAACTTGACTCCCACTGCGAGTGTGTGCTTGTACCCTTAACTCTCGATTGAGTGCTATTTAATAAATAACTCTTATTTTCTCCACAATTCAATTTTACACACTAGGGGTATTATACAAGCGCACGTATCGTTCAAGCAATATAGAGCTTTCTTTCAAAAATCCTGAGTATCAATCCCTTAAGGAAAGATGTTAATTTGTAACGACTTCAGTAAAAGTTCTAGTCTACAATAACTAATCTTAGCCTGAAATTTTCTAAAAATTTGATTTTACTAAATTCACTACTTTACTCTAAAATTAAAGTTAACTAAATTAAATAAAAATATAATCTACGGAGGCTGATTAAATTTTAGAAAGTTCTTATATAATCAAAATCCCTTCCCTCTTGTAATGAAGATATTGACATAGACAATATAAGAATTTATATAATAATGTAATAATTTTTGTACAACAAGAAACATATGTCTACCTACCCTCTTCTGAGTGTATAGATAAGCTTAATATTCTTTAGATTTACACAACTAGCAGAGATTCGAAGGTGGTTAAGAAGCCTTACAACTCATGGTAAGGAACTCATTCACTTTCATCAATTTTCACTTAGAAGTTCCTAATAGCAAAAAGATAATGATGTATATTTCCTTTTAAAAGTTGCATCGCCACCTGACTACTTCATCATAGCCAACCGAACAGTGTGAGTGTACTCAAGTTATGAAGTTACCGCTCTTTGAAGTCTTAGTCTCAACTTAAAACAAATTTTAACATAACCTATGACCAGTATTTTATGTCAATGAACCAACAAAGATTTTACTCATCACATGAAAATTAAAATTATTCTATCATAAAATAAATTTTTCTATACATTACACTGCTTCATAATAAGAGGAAATAGTACAGAAAACTACTCACTAAACATGGAGCAAACACATAGATTCTTCATTGCAAATGACAATGAAATCATACAACTATATTGTAATAATTCAAGGAAAATGCAAAAAGAGTACAAGTGTCATGTTTACAGAAGATTCACACCTTCCTTGCACAACAAAAAGCAATCTCTTACACTCCTCTCCATTCTTTAAAAGAGAAATACAAGAAATGAAGAAATATCTCAATTCCTTCCTTTCTCTCTTCTTCATAAGTGCCAAGAGTCACTAAAAAGACACTTCCAAAATGAAGAGACACGCCAACCCCCCTTTTTTCTTTTCTCTTTTAAGTTCCTTCAAGATAACGTTCAAAATTCCCAAGAGTCACTTCAGATGCTTCTTCAAAATACCTTTAAATACATTGTATTTTTTTTAAAAAAAATGATTTTGGCACCTATGTGCCCAACCGTGGCACTTAGACCCAGTCTTCTAAAAGCACAGGATAATTTCCTGGTGCCTAAGCACCAGTACTGACAACATGGTGTTGTGCTCTCTGCTTCGACGTACAAGGTCTGGTGCTTAGATGCTAGAAGTTGGTGCTTAGGCACCAGTTCACTTTGTGCTCCATTACTCCATTTGACCCTGTTTTGGTCTTTTTTCACTTTTTTTCTCCAACTGCTTAACCTATCGTCCCTGTAATAAAAAAAGCAAAAATACCTTAGTGCAATATCACTAAAAATAAGCACTAAATGTGTATAGAAAAATAACACATTTTCAGGTATGTCAAAATCCATCAAACTTAACATTAATTTTCCTCAAGTAATATTACTACTTTTAAAAGCTAAAATATGTTGATTTATGTTAGTGGGTTTCTTTAGGATGACCTAATATTTTGTTCTCGAAATGCTATATTCCAACCTAGAAGAAGTTCCAATAAATCAGTTGATATCTAAAGTATCAGAATATTTAATATTAAACTTAGGAATACTGATTTTCTATCTAATTCAAAAAGAATTAATTTTTTTTCCAAACTTTGGATTCTTAGAAAAATATAAATTTCAGAATTAAGAACTCTATTTTGAAAAAAAAATTACTATTACTTTTTGAAAATAAATCAAGTTCAAGACTGTTCCCAAGCATCCTACTTTAGAAAGATTCAAGTAAAATAAATTTTTAATTATGCCATAGTCCTTAAGCTTCTCCTCCCTTTTTCATACTTTTACTTTTATTTTCTTTTTCTTTTTCAGGATCTTTTTAATCCTTTACTTTTCTTAGGTGAGGATTACTATATCTGGATAAATCTTTAATAATTTTGAATTTCACTATCCTTTTTTAAAGTAAAAAAACTTATTCTCTGTCCTTAACTTAAAATGTAGCATTAGTTTTTGAAAAAGAATTTTAATAGAGTCGAAATTCTTAAAAAAGTATTGTCCTAAAAATCCTTAATTTTTCAAAAATTCAATTTTCCCTACTATAAATAGTAAAATCATTTTTCTAGTATTTTCTACTAAATATCTTATCTCTAATTTAATCCTTTTCATTAAAAGTTTCTACTAAGTTTTCCTACTCCATTTCTATAATTAAAACTTTAGTATCCTTAAGATAACTCCACATAACAAAAATCAATTTTCAAATTAAAGTTATTTGTAGGCT